CTAAGGTCTCCTCTCTAGAAGTGAACAATGTAAAAATAATTTGTTCATTGTACCCTTGCAGAGGTACATCTTGATCTGATCTGACCTCCATGGACTATGTAAATTTTTTTTTTTTTCAAGAAACTGTTTAAGGTTATGTAAAGAATATGTACCTTATGTTTCATGTTTCAAGAGTTTTCTTTAAAGTTGGACATATGCCAGTTAAAATTGAATATGACTATCCCATAAATTCACAATACACAAGCTAGATAATGAAATGAAAGCCATTAGACTGCTGTGGAGAAACCAGGAGTGGTTATCTGTTTATCCACATCACCATCCAGTTTGTCATCCCTCTAGAAACTTCTTTCACTGTAATTGCTGCTCTATAGCTGGAAACAGGTGCAGTTTGTATTAGTACTTTTTCCCTGAGTAGCCATTCCATGTTTCTCTGCCTTCATTCAACACTTTGACTGGTTAGAGTGATCCAGACTTTCAAACCAGGGTCCCTGTTGCTCCGGCTCACATGTTGGGTGATACTAACTGTTATGGTTAAAGATGGCAGTGTTAACTAGTTCCCTCCAGCTGCTCCCTAAGAGTTAAGTCCCTTCTCCTCTCATGTTGGTATGAGTTGGTATACCCTTACCTCCCATTAGCAACGATCTCAGTCAATGACATACTATCCTCGCACCAAATAGACAGATGCATTCTTCTCCTCGGGTGAAGACATGGTTGTATTTCTGACTTGGATATTGTCTCTGTCACCGCCAGCGATGGAAGAAAATTTGCCGTGGGGTAATTCGGTACACATGTGAAATGTGTGTCTTCAACTTCCACCCCATAGTTCCAAAATCTAAGTTTTCTTTCTGGCTGTGGGTGAAACAGCACCCTGGAGTGGTTATCCTTTGAGAGCATAATGACAGCTTTCGAAAATACTGTCACCCAGGCGACACCATCATTGAGCCTTCGTTAGGCCATTAAACATTCTAGCCCAGTAGGTTCCAGATAAAGGAGTACTGGCAGGGCAATGAATCCCTGTGTCCTATTTTCTCTCTCTCTCTCTCTCTCTCTCTCTCTCTCTCTCTCTCTCTCTCTCTCTCTCTCTCTCTCTCTCTCATCATGCTCAGAAGCACTGGTATGTGGAATACCATGATTGTGACTGATACATGGACTGGGAAGCTGGTTGAATCTTGGGGTGATCTACAGTGCTACTTCTTCAGTCATATAAAACTCTGCCTCTACTAAGGTGGAAGGGGTATAATCATCTTGCCACAGGGTGGCTGCCTGGTACCTCCAAGAATGATGTCATCTCACATATTCACATTTGCTTGCTGTCGCCTCAAAGTGGTATGTAACATTGCCAGTAATCATGTCTGTGTGAGGAAGGGGAAGTCCATGTTGATGAGCCTACATGTGGCTTTTATCCCTCCATTCCAAGTTTATTTTCCCATTGAAAAAATGCTATAGGAAGTGGGGTGAGGGACAAGCTGACTGGCATACATAGAACAAAATGAAGTAAGAGATATGCCAATGAGACTACGTAACACCTAATGCACATGGGCAGCTCAGGTCGCTTGGTTACCTCGTATACCAATGTTTACTTTTAATCCAGGGCTCAGTAGCAAGATCAAAGCTCTTCCTCAGAAGGATAAATGGGTTTGCCAAAGAGAGCATGATTCAGCCTCAAGATTCTAAGGGACTCCTATGGATTTTTTTTTTAAATTGGGAATTGGGACTGGTTTTATACAGCATCCCGGTAATAAACAGGCATTTCAGCTACCATTGGATTAATGGGGTCATTAACGCCAAGTTGTGGAGCTACTTGTACTAGCACTTGAACTAGCTGGATTGCAGTTTCTTTGGAGGAGTTTAAGCCAGAGCTGGCCACCTTTTGGGGCATTTAGTAAAATGGCTTGGAGCAGCATAATTCTCACCAAGCACTGTTCCCTATTTGTATTGAGACTAAAGAAAAGCAATTTGTCATTTGCTTTGCAGGAGTATGCCAACAATCCATACAGATAAGGGACCAACTGAAAGCATACTCCTCATGTTTTCTATTTCTTGTAGGATAGAGTAAAGCGAACTTAAATGGTATCAACAGGTCTACACAAGATACCAGAATTTGTGATGGTCTGTGTTCAATGTCCCATTTTGAAGAGCTTGTCAATTGGAGTTACTATCGACTAGGGCTCTGCTAGCCATCCTGACTTACTTTCTGCATCCTGCAGGCGGACCAATAAATGGGACTAGGAGGGGTATCACCACACTCAGCTTGACAGGTTTTTGGTGGCATTTCTGAGCAAGGACATAGGGATTGGAGTCGCTCTTGGTTCACTGTTTTGTTAGAGTGCAGGGGGTTTCAGTTTTCTCTTCCTTTCCCTAACCTGTAGGCAGAAAGCATTAAAACTGGGGCTGCTGAGTCTGTCTGTTTGAAAAAAATAAACTAGGGGAATACTGCTTGGGGTATTTAGGCTCCCACTGGGCCTTTCAGAAGCAGTTGAAATTCTTTTTTGGGTGGGTGATAGTTTGTTTTTTTTTTTAATAGTTTTTTTTTCAGTTATCATTTATATTCAATATTTTGTATTAGTTTCAGGTATACAGCACAGTGGTTAGAAAATCATATACTTAAAAAAATTTTATTCTCACCTGAACATATGTTTATTGATTTGAAAGAGGAGAGAGGGAGATAAATAGATGTTAGAAATATGGATCAGTTGCCTCCTATTCTCACTTGACTGGGATCAAACCCGTAATGTAAGTACATGCCCTACAGAGAATTGAAGCCACAACCTTTTGGTGTATGGCGCTCCAACCTGCCCATGGCTTAATAGGGCTTTTTATTTTAAAAAATATATATATTTTATTGATTTTGTACAGAGAGGAAGGGAGAGAGATAGAGAGTTAGAAACATCAATGAAAGAGAGTCATCAATCAGCTGCCTCTTGCACACCCCCTACTGGGGATATGCCCGCAACCAAGGTACATGCCCTTGACCGGAATCAAACCCGGGACCCTTCAGTCCCCAAGCCGACGCTCTATCCATTGAGCCAAACCGGTTTTGGCTTAATAGGACTTTTTAAAAAGACAAGAGACGAGGTCAATGCCTGCCTTTATCCTTTAGAGGTCTGCACTTCAATTAGTCTGACCAACACACTTGAAAAAATAAAAATAAAAAATAGCTTTAAATCTCTAAAAGATATTCCAAGAAAATCTGTTGAGGTAAAAAGAAAATATATAGCTAATTGCAAGCATAAGTTAAAAACAGCAAACAAGAATTCTCTACCCTGCAAAAGGAAAATCTGCCAAAATCAAAGCAAAAGAGATTCCTTTGAAACTAGTTGGGTGGTTAACAATTGCTATATGCTATATGATTCCTCTTCAGTATTTATACTTTCCAACTCCGATTTGAAAGCTGTGATCATTACATCATCCTCAGTGAACAAAAGTTATCCTGTGTTTTGGAATGCAATCCTTCCCTTCATCCCATAAATAAATAATGACTATTTAAAAGCATGTAAGCTATATAAGTAAACCATGTATTTTAAATGAAAAGTATGGGTGGATTGGATTATTTTTCTCTAGTTCTTAAGCTGGATTTTCAACGAATTTCTACTTGGCATTCCATGTATACATGTCAAACTAGGTAATCTCCCCTATTGTGAAGAGAGCTTTTTTTTTTTTTTTTTTTTTTTTTTTTAATTGCATTGGTTATAGACTTCTGGTTTGTGAGCTTAGCATGAATTTTAAATCCTTGATTTTTAACTGTTAAGTATTTTAAACCTATAGAAAATTAAAATTATAGTATACTGAGCTTTTTATGTACCTTCACCTGGGTTCACCAATTGTTGAAGTTTTTCAACATTTGTTTGCTATCCTTCACTCCAAATTCAACTTCTTCAATTGTCCCCTCAATCTTTTATAGCATTTCCCACCCTGATTTATAAGTTAGTGAAAAATCACACTACCTTTTGCATACTTTATTATTTTGGGCTCTTCTATTGTTTAATTTAAAAAGCTTGCCTGCTTTTAATTTTTTTCCTTTTGTAGCATTGACGTTTTAAAAATCCAGGCCACTATTTTTGTAAGTTATCTGATTTCTTTCTCATGATTAGATGCAGGTTAAATATTTTGGCAAGAAAAACGCATAGGTCCTACTGTGACTTTTTTTTTCTTTAATTATATTTTACTGATTTTTACAGAGAGGAAGAGAGAGGGATAGAGAGCTAGAAACATCTATGAAAGAGAATCAACGATCAGCTGCCTCTTACTCACCCCCTACTGGGGATGTGCCCGCAACCAAGGTACATGCCCCTGACCGGAATCGAACCCTGGACCTTTCAGTCGGCAGACTGATGCTCTACCACTGAGCCAAACCTGCTTCGGCTCTACTGTGACTTTCTTACCGCATTGTCAGGAGGCTCTTAGTGCCAGTTTGTGCCATTAGTGGTGCTAAATGTGATTATTCGATTTAAGCTACAAATTTACCTCTCATAAGTGAGCTCTTTCGTAATGAATGCCATCTATGTGGTAATAATTTCAGGTCTTGTGAATATCCTGTGATTTTCTCATCCTTTGATGATCTGCTTGAATCACTTATTACACAGTAATTGAAAAATGATTTTTTTCTAATTCTGTTATTCCTCCCTCGTTTATTAACCACAATTCATTTACTTTAAATTTATATTCCAATGAATTGTGTAATTGTTGCAATTATCTTTCTCGCAATTTTTAACGAAAGTCCATGTGCCATTGTGCCTAATGTTCTGATGGGGGAGGAAAGAATATAATACCTTTGGATCCTAAGTGCAATTTGCTATGTTAATGCCCCCACACAATTTCCTCTTGAAAATTAATTCATTATCACTCATTGGATTCAAATAAACCATTTATTTCACTTTTTAAACTGTTTTCTATATTTATCTTTGTTTTCCTCACTTCCCAATTGCTTATATTAATTTCTAACTTATTTTCTGTTGCCCTACCATATATAACAATTGTACATTTATCTTCCATCATACTAGCTGTGGAAATACAGAGGACACTGAATCAACTTGGAACACCTCAAGATACACCTGAATTGAGGCAACAGCTGTAAGTATTTAATTAAACAAGAAAAAGGAAGAATGGGAAACAATAACTGTTGTTATATTCCTTTCATAGTGTGTAGTGTTATGCTTAATGGAGAAAACAATGGAAAATTAATAAGGTATTTCTGCTCCCGTTTGTACCAAGCTTTTGTGTACATTTTTTCTTATCCAGAGTAAACAGATGTTTGTTTGTTTTTAAAGATATGACTTACCATACAAAGCAGAACTTCTTTAGTTACTTTTCTTATGCTTTTTTTTTTAATTTCCAGTTTTATTTATTTTAAAAATCTTTATTGTTGGAAGTATTACATATGTCCCTTTGTCCCTCCATTGACCTCTCCTAAGCCACCCCTGCTCCAAGCCTTTACCACCCTATTGTCAGTGAACATGGGTTTTCTTATACTTTTTAAATAGGTTGCTTTTTATGGCTTTTGAAAACTAGTACTCTAAGTTTCTCCATGTGTGTGATTTATGTCCCATGGCTACCCATCCCTACAGTGCTACAGGGACCAGATTTTTATTTGGTTTAGATCAAATACATATCCAATATGGGATATTTCCCAAAAACTTATACCAACATACTTGAATTTCAGGAAACATTAGTTTCTGTTAAAAAATATAATATGTTTATATAACACATATTTCAGTAAATGAATATGCCGTTAGAAGAACAGCAGTTGTATTTTGTGGTGTTATAGATTTTACAGAGTGTTTTATTTGCACATTTTCTCATCTGAACCTTATAAGATTGTGGTGAAATAAATCAAAGAACTATTTTCATTTTGCTTATAAGGAAACTATGTCCACTCGGGGTTTGATGATTTGCCCAACATCATTCTGAACCTGTTTTAAATCTTAGCTCAACACAGACAAAGCTGAAAATTTCAAGTAACATATATATATATAATGGGTTATATGCCAAACATTGGCTCTGAAGGAAAAAATGAGGAAGAAATTAAAAGATAGGTAATAATAATTCTCATTTCTTATCAATTACAATTTGAAGAATTTACAGTTATCTCTAATATATATTGTACTTCTATGTTGAATATAGTTGTTAGAGTGGTAAAAATGCCCTAATCTAAATAATAAACTATCATTTATTAGAATGAAATTAAATAGAAACACATAATTCTTAATAGTTACAATATTTTGCTAACATTAATAATAGATTCTGAATATGTAGATATCATTAAAGTATTCTTTTTAGAATTTTAATTATATGACTTTTTCTAAAGGTTTAAAAAGGCATATTAAAAATAGGGTACTCAGGAAATAGGTATAATTTTTCCTTATTGGTCAAGTGCAGATGTCTGTATGTAAACATATTCTTCTGTAGTATCTTTCTATTTTAAAGAATCCTAAGTGGTGACTAATATGTGTTTAAAATGAGAGATGTTATGTAATATGTCTGAGAAGTACTGATATAATTTATAAAGCATCACATGAATATTATGTTTTTTAGTGTCATGTTCTTTAGTTAGAAATCTTTTAACTTTATAAGCTAGCTAGCAAGTTAGATGTAGATACTGATATAATTTACTTCTATTATTGTGGCCTGTACACTCTATGGAAAAATGCCATTTTTTTTCATCAGTAAACTTAAATAATAAATTTGAACTATTACTTACTACCTTTCCCCCTTTTCTCTTTTTAAGTATTTGTAGGTTATAAATTCTCAGGTAGAGAAATATGAGAGGCCAGATATACCTTAAAACCTGAGAACTGGGCCAAGTTTAAGGCAACAAATCCTCTTTACTAACTGATGACCTCCCAACTGTGGGACGCAGATAAAAGACTCCCACACCCGCAGTGCCTCAAACATCAGACATCTCATAATCTCTAGTTGGCTTGAGTCATCTTCCCTTCTAAATGACTACTGATACTTATTTCTTCAAAGTTTGGTTTCCCATCTTGTGTGAGTAAAGAACTTCCCCTGTCATGTTTACTCAATATTTATCAAAGAGTAGATTCTGACAATTTTATTAGACATTCTGAGGCAGTCTGTAGAAAAGTGATTTTTATAAAACTATTTATCAGGATTAATTCAAGTGGCAGAGTCATAGCTTAATGAAATAGTATTCATTCTTTCTCTATAATCTGTGCTTCTCTCTTTAGGCAACAGAAGCAGCAGTATACTAACCAACTTGCTAAAGAAACAGATAAGTACATTAAAGAGTTTGGATCTCTGCCTACCACCCCCAGTGAGCAGGTACCAAGCTTTAAAACACATTGTTGATGCATTGAATGTGAGAGGAACCCAATGTCTTATGGGATCTTTGAGTTGTTATGCTAGAAAGGAAATTAGGGGGGATGGGGGGAGCGGAGATTCTATTTGAGATTAGTTCACAGAACACAAAACTATATTTAATTGCCCAGGTAATATCCTGTGGTTCAATAAAGCAAAAATTATTTCCATGCAGTTGCCCTGACCCATAATTAAGTAAGTGCTCAGAAAATGCCTCCCGAGTAATTGTTTCCTGGCCTTCTCAGACTGGCCTCACCCAACGTGCACACATTCAAGATGTGAGGTGCCCTGGGGCCACATATGTATTTCCTTGCTTACTTAGTGGACGTTTAGTTTGGTAAAAGGATAAGGTTTTATTTTCCTTTAAAAAGGAAAAAGGAGAACTACTTTAAAATAACCTCAAAATCATGACCCAGATTTTAGGATGAAAATTCAAGGTAAGGACTTCAGCATTATGGACTTTCTGCCTCAAGGCAAAAATGTATACAGTGTTTGAACATATTGTCAGGATGCTGTCGAGAGTCAGTTAGTAAGATTCTATAATTGGAGAGTGAGCGAGAATTTCAGGGTTAAATAAAGAGTCAGCTAGTGGTAAAACTGCTTTTGCAAATTCTGTAGAACTTCACAGCTTGATTCTAGTAGGTGTTTTATTCCCCTTTCCTCTAGCGTCAAAGGAAAATACAGAAGGACCGCTTAGTGGCTGAGTTCACAACATCACTGACCAACTTTCAGAAGGTCCAGAGGCAAGCTGCTGAGAAAGAGAAAGACTTTGTGGCCCGAGTGAGAGCCAGTTCCAGAGTATCTGTAAGTATTTAAAAGGCATTGTAAAAAATGAGCATGATACTCTAGGGATCCCTCCAAAGTCCACATTGACATGTTTTTTAAGTCATAAAGCTTAGAAGTCAGGACTTGAGTAATGTTGAAATGTTTCTGCTCAGTTTTTAAGAAGGATGATAGTTATGTATTACTGCGGTTATTTTGTCCATGTCATGGAACAAACTATTATAGATTACGTTAAAAATATAGAAATATTTTGTCAGAAAAGATTAGAGCAGTGTTTAATCCTAAATAATATTCCCACACTTACTGGACCTGAAGCTGTTACTGTGCTAGTGTAGAGAGCATTCTACATTGGAGTTGTATGAAGGTAGAAGTGGACAGAGTGAATATATTGTATAAATGTTGAAGAATATTCACTTGGAGAAAATAAATGAACAGATAATTTAGAGTAGAATTTTGACTTAGTCTAATTTAAAGTTCCCTTAGACACTATCACAAGTTATTTTCTTATTTTTTTTTTCTTTTTTTCTTTTTTTAAAATATATTTTATTGATTTTGTACAGAGAGGAAGGGAGAGAGATAGAGAGTTAGAAACATCGATGAGAAAGTCATCGATCAGCTGCCTTTTGCACACCCCTCACTGGGGACATGCCCGCAACCAACGTAGATGCCCTTAACCGGAATCGAACCCGGGACCCCTCAGTCCCCAAGCCGACGCTCTATCCCAGCGTTTTTCAACCGCTGTTCCGCGGCACACTGATGTTGCCTGGTGTGCCGTAGGTGCAGACAAGACAAGAATTTTATAATTTTTCACTATTTTGTTTACTTAATATTTCATAATAAAGTAATTATAAAATACTTTCTTTGTGTTTATTTGATTCCTATTCAAGAGAATTACTTTATATATAGTCAATATAGGCACAGAGTTAAATTTTTTAACATTTTCTAATGGTGGTGTGCCTTGTGATTTTTTTCATGAAACAAGTGTGCCTTTGCCCAAAAAAGGTTGAAAAACACTGCTCTATCCATTGAGCCAAACCGGTCTCGGCTATTTTCTTATTTCTTAATGTAGAGTTTCCAAGATTATATTACATTTTAATTAATGTTTATTAAATGTTCTTAGAAATATTTAATGAGTGCCCTCCATGTCATCGTAGGACATAATATTATTATAATTTGAAGTAGTTGACCTACAATATTAGGGAAAAAAATTTTTTTTTCTTTACACATATAGTATTCACATGCACATGTAAAACAGTTTAGGTTATTGTAAGGGAAAATGTGAATGTTGTGATGTTGTGCGTTTTTTTCTTGCCCCTTCTCAATCTATTCTCTGCTAAATTATTCAGGGTGGTTTTCCTGAGGAGAGCGCAAAAGACAAGAATCTTGTATCGTGGGAAAGGTAAGCGGTATAAAACATGATACAGATCAAAAGGTACTTATTCAAATACATTTTATGTATTATGATCCCTAGAATAGTTTTAATTTTATTCAGTATATTATATTATGACTAACTTAAAAATTTTCTTATAAATTGAAACAAATAATAACTTTGAAAAAAAGGTTTGAGTCAGTATTTATTGTATAATCTATAAATATATATAATTATTCCAATATAGGAATAACATTTTATAATTATTTGTCGAAATAAATATTATTGCTTAATGATCATTTGATATATTCACTTGTGTGAGGTCTAAGTCAACCAAAAAGAAATATCCAGCTGCCAAATACAGCTTCCAATAATTATATCATAACTCTAAAAAAATAGTATCCATCATATGGAATAAGAATAAACTTTGATGAATATTTCTGTTATATTCTTAGAATTTAAGCAATTCTTTGACTTTAAAAAATATTCTATTTAGTATTTGTTTTAATACAGTCTTTCTTTTTTCCGTATTCTTTTCTTTTTATCAGCCAAACTCAATCTCAAGTGCAAGTACAAGATGACGAAATTACAGAGGATGACCTCCGCCTTATCCATGAGAGAGAGTCTTCTATTAGGCAACTTGAAGTAAGCTTTACATTGCAGAGTCAGACGACTTTCCTGTTCTTAGTGACTTTGTCCTCAAGATGTATACCTAATGCTGGAGGAGGGGTTAAGAAAGGAAACTAAATAAAGATTTCTATTTGGTGGCATTTCTGATATAAATTAGAATAAATTTCTTTAAAAAATAAAACTTCTTTAGAATCTGTGCCTGGGTGAGAGGACATACTCTCTTCTACTTTAACATTTTTTTTTTTTTTTTAATTCTTTTAAGTCATCTCAGGCCCCTTTAGCATTGAGAAAAATATCAGCATGGAGGTAAATGTCTGTTCAGGGAGTCTGATGTCTTCTATGGCACATGATTTCATCTGCGTGTGTAATGACTTTCAAGGGCTTTAAAAGTATTTTATTTCTCTTTAGTATGTTTATGACGTCCAAAAGATCTAAAGCCTACATGCTCCCTAGAAGGTGAGCTTCTAATACCTACCAATAGCTACAGCTTGTTGAGGGCTTGCATGTGCCAAGGACTATGGTGACAAGCTCTGTATATTCACTGTCTCATTTAGTTCTCATAAGTCTCTGAAGTGCTAACAGTGGCATTACCATCACCATATTTAGATGGGGAAACTAAGACAGGGATGCATATGTAAATCGCCGCATCTCTCCTAAATAAAGTGCCAACACTTTACTCTTTAATTAGGTAAAAATAATAGCATTATATATTGAAGAAAGGTAAATTTATAACTTTTTTATCCATCACATTTCATAAATTTGCACACACTTAATGTTTTATTCTTTTACGTTGTCAAATTGATGTATATATTTTTACTAGAAATATAACAAGAATATTTGATGCCCTTGTGAGGAAATAGCAAGACTAATGTTTGTGATAACAAAACAAATCAGATTATATAATATAAACTTAGTGATAACCACAGCCCTTCCCTAATATAGATACCTCATTTCCATCCTGCTGTGCTTAATTTTTTTAATGTTGCAAACTTGTTTTAGGAATTGGTTAGTTATTCAAGCTCTGCTTACCTGGGGATTGCTTATAGTAAAATAATTTTTGTTGTTTCTGAAGTTTATGTATGGCGGTTTTGTTTTGTTTTGTTTTTAATTTTCCCCTTCTGTGTATTGGGGACTGAATTTCTGATTTTAATAATATGTGCCTTTTTCTCTTAGGCTGATATTATGGATATTAATGAAATATTTAAAGATTTGGGAATGATGATTCATGAGCAAGGAGATGTGATAGGTAAGACCTGCTGATTAGATTTCATGAGGTGTGAGCAACCTACCTGAAGTTTACCTGTGGTTACTTCTCAAACAAGAGTAACTGCTCCCTCTTCTTTTTTCCTCTGGAATCAAAAGCATTGATTATAGCAGACGAAACATCACTCTTGGCATTATCTAAAACAGATCTCACCCTAGCCAGTTTGGTTCAGTAGATAGAGCATTGGCCTGCGGACTGAAGTGTCCTGGGTTCGATCCGGACAAAGGCACATGCCCAGGTTGTAGCCAAATCCCCAGTAGGGAATTCTCTGTCATCATTGATGGTTCTCTCTCTCTCTCTCTGCCTCTCCTTTCCTCTTTGTAATCAATAAAAATATGTTGTTTTTTTTAAGAAACATACAAACACAAAAACAGATCTCACTTTTGGCTCCAAATGGTTGAATTGACCAGACTAATTTTTTTTTTAGAATACTCCAATTTAATCAGGCCTCCTGCTGAGATCTTGGAAGGCACCAGGAGAATTGTCTTTCTAACTCATTTCCAGGACCTCTGATCTTATCCCAATCTAATTCTCATCACAATAAGGACTTTTGGGAAAATTTGTGCTATTTATAGAGAGGAAGGGAGAGAGTTAGAGAACTAGAAACGTCAATGAGAGAGAAACATTGACCAGCTGCCTCTTGCATACCCCCTACCGGGGATGTGCCTGCAACCATAGTACATGCCCTTGACCGGAATCAAACCTGGGACCAACGTTCTACCGCTGAGCCAAACCGGTTTCAAGTGCTATTTATAATTGTGTGCTCGATCTTTGCATTTAGATTAGAGGGGGTAGGAAGCTATTTGCCCCATCATTCATCTTGAGAAGTTTTGGTAGATTTATTTAGTAGTATTACTTAGAATTCTTTTTTAAAATTTCTTAAAAATAAACCATTGACTAAGGCTTCCTTTAAGTTTTAAATGTGATAGTGAATCTTAAATGGTGTCATTGTCAGCATTGATCAGGATCCTGAGAAATATGAATATATATACACACATTTAATATGCTTTCTGAATTCATTCCATTGACATACTAGAATCTATGTAGTCAATAGAACTATTATTTGTCCATTCTAAGTCTCTTCTCTCACCATAATACAGTAGTCAGCAAACTCATTAGTCAACAGAGCCAAATATCAACAGTACAATGATTGAAATTTCTTTTGAGAGCCAAATTTTTTAAACTTAAACTATATAGGTAGGTACATTGTTATTACAATAACTTAATTAGGGTACTCCTAAGCTGGGCCTTTGCTAAAAACTCAAGGGGCCAAAGAGCCGCATGTGGCTCTTGAACCACGGTTTGCCGACCACTGCTCTAGAAACTCACAGGGCTATTTCAGGGATCCAGGTGAGCAATTGCATTGCCTTGGATCAGATGGTAATATTAAACTTTGGATAAAGAACACGTTTGATCTTACCTTGAGTGACTCGTGCAGCTCTCTCACTGTAGCATCAACATGTGCTCACAGCGGTGCGGATGTGTTTTGTCTTATAGATAGCATAGAAGCCAACGTCGAAAATGCAGAGGTGCACGTTCAGCAAGCAAACCAGCAGCTGTCGAGGGCATCAGATTATCAGGTAATACTAACTCGAGTAAATTGTCTTATAACTGGACTTTTAATTGTGTGAGTGAGTGTGAGTGTGAGTGATCAGGTGTAAAGTGGAAGTTGAAAATCCCATGGAAGACAGGTCAGAAATATGCCAGTCAGTGTAAACTGCAGTGAGCCTGGATGTTTCAGGGTCGAACTAGAATCGTGGCCACAAGAATAGGAACTTCAATGGTTGGCCTCCTGAGGGGAACAATAGGGCAGGAATGCCAGGCTTTTCTGACAGGCTCTGATGTCACCGTGACATTCCAACCCAGAACCTCTTGGACAGCCTGTTTCTCACTGTTCCCCTCCATCTTCTCTTCCCTTCTTGTCAATGACACTGTGGACTGAAGAAGCAAGAACTTTTGTCCTACAGAGATCTCTTCAGGTCCTGTGGAGATCATACATTCAAACCTCGTTTCTTGGACATCTCCCATCTCGAACAATTCAGTTCTCAAACAAGTTTGTTCACAGAAAAATGTCTCGGTTGTTGAAGTTACCAAACTTCTTTTTCAACCAGACAACCCTTTCATACTGATACCTCAGCAAGACAGAAAGCGTCTCTCATGCAGCAAACAACAGAGAAAATGCTTTTGTTGCTGTGAAATCAGTTTTAAAACATAAGGAGTGCTAATATTGCTAAGGGTGTAAAGAAACAGTAATCACAGGCAATGGAAGAGGTAGCAAACTGCTGTTGATTTGGATGAAGGAAAAGCAGTTAGCCGGTGATAGCATTTCGGAGGCAGTGATATGCTGCATGCTGACCTGGAAGGCACGCCTGGACTGAGTGCTGAACGTGACTCCTTTAAGGCTAGGAGGGGTGGTCCGATAAGTATAAGAAGTGTTTGTTTATAGATTAAACAGTACTTTAGACATATATTATATATAAGAAAGATGAAAATAATCTTTAGTGATCATTATTTCTAATGGGGAAAAATGATTCAGTTTTTTAACAAATTGCTTCTCAAAAACCTTCTAGAACAGATTAAATTTGAGAACCGGGGTTTCACTGAATTCATTGTCCTTGACTATTAGGTATTAGGTATTCTGGCAGCATTCAGCAGGCCCTTCACTAGGAGTAAATTGATTTCTTAAGTAAATCAGGTTAATATGAGGAGTCCATATGTATGTGTCAAATATAAAGTATGTTTAAAGTACTATATGCATATGAGGACCATGCACTATCAATATATTGTTTAATATGTACACCTTCAATTTCTAAAGGAAAAAAGGCCAGGCTTTTTAGAAACCACTAAGTCCCACCTAAAGATTTGACTTCTCTTTCAAACCTTCATTTTTGTTGTTGTCCATAATTATTTTCCCAGACCTTGTTACCTTCTTATAAAATAGCTAAGATTTGTACCATCTTAGATATTTCCAGTTGCTTTTTACTTTTCTCACTAATTATTAAAGTTCCTTTAATGTCAATGTCATTTTATCACTGGACAGATCACTGCATATTCATTGATATATAGAGAACAATGAAGCTGTATAGAGATGCTGAGTTACAGCCAGTTGTATTCACTGATGGAGTAATGCATATTTACTGTCCTTTTGCATGTGATTCAGATATGCCCCGCTGAAGAATTAACATCATTATGTCATAGACTGTATTTCTCACAAATAGTTACGCACAGGGTAATCTGTAAATGCCAACAGTTACAACTGCTCAAACGTAGTGTGTAGCAGGATTCATCAGTGACTGGGCTTACCTATTATTTCATTTGGCTTTTGGGCTTTGGGGGAATGTAGATATATATAAAAGTTTTACTTTTCCTCTTCCTGTGCAAGGGAAAGCCTGCAGCCTCCCTGGGAAAAGAAACACATCTTCCCAGGCTGCACCTCCAAAACTGGAGCTGCCTTCTTGCTTAACTCGGGAGGCCCTGAGGGAGGAGAAAAGAGCCATGTAACACAGGTCCCAGGAAAAGAGCCTCTTTCCAGTAGTCCTACTTGGAGCTTTGATAGTAAACTGCTGCCTTTGCAAAATAGGGCGCTTTTAAATAGGTTGGGTGGACCATGAGCATAAAAGAAGGCAATAAAGGCTCTTACCACGGCAGCACCCCAAAGAGCCTCACCACCCGACCCTAGGGAGGATCCCCCGGTAACAGCCGTACTGTAGTAGAATGCATACCTGTGACTGTTCTTAAAGGTGCATTACACCTGTCTGGGGTGACCAAGTGGGGCCTGGGGGAAATATGTAAGCATGATATTGAAACTGTAGAGGAATTATGTTTTATAAATAAGGAGTATTCAGTTGAAAAATTAGATGAATATATGGAATACTGAAAGTATTCACCATTTTCAGGGTAACTTCAGAGTCAGAAACAACATTTCTGCCGAAACCGGTTTGGCTCAGTGGTAGAGCGTCGGTCTGCGGACTGAAGGGTCCCGGGCTCGATTCCGGTCAAGGGCATGTACCTTGGTTGCGGGCACATCCCCGGTAGGGGGTGTGCGGGAGGCAGCTGGTCGATGTTTCTCTCTCATCGACGTTTCTAGCTCTCTATCCCTCTCTCCTCCTCTCTGTAAAAAATCAATAAAATATATTTAAAAAAAAAAAAAAAAAAAAAAAGAAACAACATTTCTGGTTGACACAAAGTAAATTTACAAATTTTTCTACTTTGCAAGAAAAAGGATTCCTGCATGCTGCTGTGAGATACACAAGCCACTAAGAAATATAGAAATCTACAACTGGGCCAGGAATGAAGAATGGAATAAACCTTTATATTTTAAATGACTGTATCTTAATTGTTTTTGCCTCTTTGTTTTTTTTTATTTGTACGTTGAGATTTTGAATGCAGTTTTCATGAATATGAAAGAATGAGAATGATTTTGGAAACTAATAAATTAATCTTGGGAAAAAATTGTTCAACATTTATACTTGCTAACATTTTCAGAGAACTCATTTTGAAGAACAGCTGTTTTAAAAAAAATGTATTTTTCAATTATAGTTGATATTATATTAATTTCAGATATACAACATAGTGATTAGATATTTATATACCTTATGGAGTGATCACCGCAATAAGTCTAGTACCCATCTAACACTAACATATATTTATTATAATACTATTGACTATATTTCCTGTGCTATACTTTATATCCCTGTGACAATTTCTATAACTGGCAATTTGAAGCACACTTTTTTATAAGAACATCTTTTTGATGAAAGTTATAAAATTTCTAAGCTTTTAAGCTGTTCTTTGTTTTTATATATATCAATAGATAACCTCAGTCTAAACGCTTTAAATCAGTAGTTTTTGTTTTCCTGTGTCTTCTACTCCAGAAAAAATACCGACAAAAGTTGAATGATTACCCCTTGTCCCAGTCACTCAAGAAAAATATTTTTGAAAAAATAGTTCCATGTGAATTGAAGAAATCTTTAAGAAGCAAAAAAGTACAGCCAAGAATTTGAGGGGAATTTTACTCTAGAAAGGAAACAAGTAATTTTCAGTTGCTATGGCAATGTCTTCTCTACATTTGTAAACATGTTTTTGTTTTTGCATCTGCAGCGCAAATCCAGAAAAACCATCTGCATCATCATTTCTCTCCTTGTCATCGGAATTGTAATTATTGGTGTCATATGGGGAGTGAAAGGCTAAAATTATGAAGGAGCACGCTGTTGCATTGAGTTATCTAAATTATGTAGGAAAGTTCCTGAAATCATGGTTTTTTATTATTTTAAAGGTGTTGCATAAAGGACGGCTCCCATACTTTTTATTTGGGGGAAATTTTCCTTTGGATCAAATATGTTATTTCCTAATACTGAAAGTTTTTCTAAATATCAGTGCTGGGCATAACTTCCATGATTTTTGGTCTAATAACTCTTAGTTTGTTTGCCCACATTGTATATGTCCTTCATGTATAATTTATTTATCATGTTGACTTGATTTTTGGAATTAATAAGTTTAAAGGTGTATATGTGTGTCCTGTGGGCATCTGTCTCAGTGTAACATGCACCCAGACTTGTGTTACTTCAATTAAAAATCTCAAATTTAATTTGAATTATGGCCAGCAGAGGAAATATTCTCAAAAACTTAAAACAAATTAACCTGTTTCTGTTGGCTTTTTTTTTTTTTTTCTGGTTTACACCAGCACAATTATCTATTCAACTTTTACTGTTGTCTTGTCTTAAGACCCTTGATTACTCTGAATAAAGTCAGTGAAATGTTTCAAATACCTGATGTGTATATGTTAAGCATTTGCTGTAGATTGCCTAGTGAAAAGGAAGAAGGGTAGATTGTTTTTACATAGGCTCTGTTTAAACCTGACATTTACTGGGGAATGTGTAGTCACTTTAAATGTTTGATGTGATGTGGAAGGAGAGTAGACAAATCAATACCTATTGTGCTAGAATTCTAAAGATCCCAACCTGTAACTCTGCTGTGCATTTCCACAGCTATTATAATGAAAATTAATGATTTTTTTCCTTACATCCTGTAGAACAATGGCCACATTTGTATCCTGAGGTCAAAATTATTGGGGAAGTAACTGTTCCACAATTTCTGTTTTTTGGCACCCAACACTTAAAATATAGTGTTTACCCTGAGTACCATTTTGTACCATCATCACTGGAGAGAAAAAAAAATTGGTGTTTGCCAATTAACTCACTTGCCTTTTTAAAGTCAATACTGTTTTAATGCACTAATCTGAATACTGTAAAGAGGATTATCTTAGTTTGTATTTTATAATGTTCTTATATAGCAGTTTGATAGCAAAGGCAGCGTTCTCTTTGGCAAGCTATGAGCTTCAAGTGGGAACAATAGACACACAGCTAAATAGGTGTATACTAGGTGATGGGTGATGCAGGGAGAACTCATGCTTCCTACCTGCTCGGAAGTCAGTGCGAGCCCACCAGACTTGTTCTTTGTAAGTGCAGGAGAGCCTGCAGTTTCCTGTCACACCCAGCATCTATGGCTGTGGAAGTCCCGTTGGCGTCACAGATCACTTCAGTTGTGTGGGGTTTTTTGTTTTGTTTTTGCCACAGTTGTACTTGATAAAGATTATTATCATTGCCTTTATTTATTTTATGGTAAGTTCCCAAGAACAGCAAAAGCACTTAATTTTTTGGCATGATGTTAGCACCATTATTTAAAGTTTAATAATTTATCAGTGATTTTAACTGGAACACAAATCAGTGACTAAAACTAGGAACTTCGGTGACTTGCGTTTTTTTTAAGAATCATTAATTTTGAAGGGGGAAATTTGCACAAAATATTTGGAATAGAAATAAAAGTCTTGATTAGAAAAAAATAAAGGATTGCAGTCGCCAAAATTTTAGAATGTTTTTTTAATATATATTTTATTGATTTTTTTTTTTTTTTTTTTTTTTTTTTTTTTTTACAGAGAGGAAGGGAGATGGATAGAGAGTTAGAGACATCTTTGAGAAAGAAACATTGATCAGCTGCCTCCTGCACACCTCCTACTGGGGATGTGCCTGCAACCAAGGTACATGCCCTTGACCAGAATCAAGCCTGGGACCCTTCAGTCCACAGGCCTACGCTCTATCCACCCAGCCAAACCACTTAGGGCAAAATTTTAAAATTTTTGAAGTTTTCCTTTATATATATATATTTCAGAGAGGAAGGGAGAGGGATAGAGAGATAGAAACATCAGTGATAAGAATCATTGGTAGGCTGCCTCCTGCCTGCCCCCTACTGGAGGGGGGGGAGGCCGAAATCAAGCCCACAACCCAGGCATGTGTCCTTGGCTGGAATCAAACCTGGGATCCTTTAGTCCACAAGCTGACACTTTATATCCACTGAGCCAAACAGTTTTGTTTTGTTTTGTTTTTTAATATATATTTTCTTTAGATTTTAAAATCTCTTTGAAAGGTGGCAAAGCTTACACTATAGAAAATAAAATTAGAGTTGTTTTAATGACTGTCAACATATCGGAATTGTTTGAGGCAAACTGAGTCTGAAACTGAAGAAGTTTCCTTATCAAATGACACATATTGTTTATTTCAATGTGCTCCAAAGACATGCTGGATGACGCAGACTGAGGTTAACCAGCCTCTATTTTTAAGTTGAATGACAGTGTGGCATGAAGTATTTGGCCATTGTATTGGTTATTAAATATTATGAAAATGTTTTCGTTTTGCAGTGATTGATGGTAAAAGAATAATTGGTGTCATTTCAACATAATGCAGGTTGTTGTTTTTTTAGTGGGCATGGGATCACTCCAAAAAATATGTAGATCTGGATACAGATGGAACTCAATCTAGGACAGCAAACCTTGGGAACAGCACCTGGAATCAGGCCACTGAGCATGCCCCGTTCCCATGGCAGCATCTGCATCCTTGATTGAGAACACTGCGCCGTGGAACGATTGCCACTGAGTCCTACAGGGTCTTCACTGCTTTTGTTAAAAATGGTAAAATTTTCTACACAATAAAGTGTTTTGAATACCACCAGTCTTCTTAGACAGCTTTATAATAAAGAAAGAAATGACTTTTGAAGACTTCTTGTTCCACAAAATTGGTCTGTAGTTCAGCAAGAAAAGTGCAGAATAGCTTTTATAGTTGGTACTAGAGGCCCAGTGCACAAATTTGTGCATGGGTGGGGTCCGGCCAGCCAGCCCTAATTGAGGCAGATCGGGTCTGGGCCTGTCAGGAGGAGGAGACGGCAAGAGGTTGGCTGGCCAGTCAGCCCACCCTGTTTGGGGCCCAATCAGGGCTGGGCTGGCTGGGGGGAGGGGCTGGGGGCGATTGGCCAGCGGGCCTTACCCCCAAGCAGGGGGTCAGTGGCCTGGGGAGGGGCCATGGGTGGTTGGTCAGCCGGTCCTGCCCCTGATGGAGTGTGGGTCCGATCTTGGGTGGGACTCGGTGGGGGGAGGCTACAGGATGTTGGCTGCCCAGCTACCCCCCCCTTTTGGGGTGGGGAGGTAATCAGGGGTGGGCAAGCCAGAGTTAGGGGCTGCAGACTGATCGGGAGTGGGGTTGGATGGGGGAAAGGGAGGAGGTATTTGGACAGTGGCCAGCTCTTGATCAGGATGGAAGAGACTGATCAGGGACAGGCCAACAGGGGGGAGGGGCCATGAGGTTGGCCAGCCAGTTCCATCCCTCATCAGCTGGTTTGCTGGCCACAGTGGACATTATAGTGACGGGTCATTATAGCTGTTACAATGCTGATTGATATATATACACACACACACACACACACACACACACACACACACAATCTTTGTTTCGTTAATTGGAAAAAAGAATGTTCTAATAAAAGATAAAATCTGTGTAAAAAAGAAAAAGTCATTGTCCACCATTTATATAATAAAGAGCAATTCACAAGGGTAATTTATTCAGCTTTTTTTTTTTTTGAAAGATGAAATTGACTTTTTACCTGATCAGGTTGCTACAATAAAATTTTCAGAATGGGATGAAGAGAGTTGTTTGGGTAAGTTATGAGTTGGGTAACAATTTTTAGTTCATTTAAATGTGATAAAAAAATTCCTCATTAGTGATAAGTAATAGCATCTTAAAATATAAAGTTGTATATTTTCATGATGCAATGAATAAAAACGAAAAACTGGCCTGTGGATCCAAAACTTCTCAGAGGCTAAGCTTACCATAGGATCTGAGTGGCTTAATCTCTGAGCAAGGAAATACACTTAGCAAAATTTATACCGGTGGGAGCTGAAAATGAAAATATGTGTGGTACCCCTTTGACAAAATGCATGACATCTCTACTTAACATTGCCCAGTTACAGTTCATGAGTCAATGAAGAGAAGACCATTCCCCATGTATTTAGGATTTTGTGTCATAAGACACCGTAGCACAGGTAGTAGTGAAGAGAATGCCTGGATGTAAACACGCAGGGTCAGCGCGGGGTCCCACAAAGTCCATGGACAGAATGAAGCTCGTTCACTAAGTTAAGAAGACACTGGGAAAACTCAGGTCTCTCCTTATGATAATTTAAACTAACTTCTCTATCAAGATTCAGTCAGGGAACCAGCCACTTGATTTAAAAGGGTTTCAGTATGCTCACTTCTGAGCTTCCACCTGCAGCAGAAGGTGAGTGCAGCAGCAGCAGCAAGGATGGCCCAGAGTTACTGAATCTCCAGTCATTGGAGGTTCTTGTCTCCTCAGCTTGTGGCAGTCACACCAGTGGGTCTCAAGGGATTGCCATCAGCCTGCTTGGCTGTCAGAGCACCGGAGCAGGTGGCCTGCAAGAGATTGTGAAGCTGCTGGGCAGCCTGCACTCCCTTCAGCCTCGCCTTTCCTCTGGGAATACCTCTCCTTGGTCTGTCTGACGTAGAACCAGAGGTGAGGCAGTGTATGGGAAGAGAGTTTCTGGCTTCCCTGCCATCCAGAGGACAGGCACTTCAGAAGGAAGCAGTGATGTTGAGATGATGAAACACGGAAATGCAGAAAGACCATAAACGACAGGAAGCAGAAGACCTGGAATGTTCTTTCATTAGGGTTCTTTGATGGGAAAACAACAACAACAACAACTTAGGAGCACTGTTCTAAGTGGTATGTCAATTTTTCCAACCAGAATGAAGTCTATATATACAAACATTGAGGCCCAAGCACCTAACCGTTTACTCTTTTCCATAGTTGCTCCATAAACATTTGCTGACTTCATTGGGCACTTATTTTGTGCCAGGCTGCTACATTCCCGGGCACAGAGAGAATAAGGGTGAGCCAAAAGAGTATGTTCTCTGCCCTCAGGAACTTTGGCATTCAGCATTTGAAAAACAGTTGATGTATAAGCAAGAGAAAAATGATGGGTGGGAGAGGAAGGAGGCACGCAAGAAACATCACTCAGATGACCTAGCTCCTGAGACTGGAACCATTTACTTTTAGGGATGGCTTCCTGAGTATCCTCTTCCCTCCTTACCAAGTAACTGAATTTCATATTCTTTGCTCCAATAACAGACTACTAGGAAATAGGTAATTTTCTCGAGTGGCTGCTAATTTGAAAGGCAGTCTGTGTATGATGTCTCTGAAGAAGAACCTTCCTTCTTTTAGTGGCAGCATTTGGATTCAGAGGCAGGGCGTCCTGATGGGACAGACATTTATAGGACTTTTGCAATTAATGCTCCCAATAAAGCGCAGAGCATCAGGAGAAGGGAAAGAACTAGGGGTGTTTGGAACCTATATTTCTTTAGGATGCACTCAAAGCCAATGCATGATGAATGTTCCTGGCAAAATGCCCTTTAAAATGTGTCTAATTTGCCCAAACTGGTTTGGCTCAGTGGATAGAGCGTTGGCCTTCGGACTGTAAGGGTCCCAGGTTTGATTCCGGTCAGGGGCATGTGCCCTGGTTGTGGGCACATCCCCAATGGGGGGAGGTGGGGTGCAGGAGGCAGCTGATTGATGTTTCTAACTGTCTATCCCTCTCCCTTCCTCGCTGTAAAAAATCAATAAAATATATATTAAAAAAATAAAAATAAAATGTGTCTAATTTAACCCTACCCTATCACTTAGCAAATCTTTTTTTTCTTTAATCAAAAGGGAATAAAGAACACCCGCTTAATGGCTCAATTAACCCATATACTATGTCAGTATGTCCTTCTTAATGCTTGGTTTTGGCAATCATTTGGTTCACAAATGAAAATTGTATAATGTCTTCCCCGCGCGCCCCCTCCCCCCAAATAATCCTAATTTGAAGGGCAGAAATAGAATTGAATAACTGACACACTGCATACGTTTTTATAGACACTGTTGCTTCTGGCAAGTTTTTAAGAGGTTGGTTACTCAATTACTCAGAGTGGGATTTCTGTAGGTTTTGTGCCGTGATGGCATTTCTGCTGAAAATGTAAGTGGCGGAAGGCAAAACCAAGCTTCCTGTGCAGTTGTCGCACGCATAACACCCTTGCTTGTTTGAGAGGGAGTCTGCTAGGACTGAACTGAGTCTTTAAATAAACTTGAAAGGGCCTTAATTCCCACTTTGGCAACCCAACGTACAAATTTTTAAGTGTTTACTGTAAGTACTGTTTGACAGCAGTTGCTAAGTCCAAAACCTGTTAGCGTTGGAGGAAACTTAGAAATACGGTCATTGAGTCTCAACAAAGATTCACTGATGCTAGTTTTGATTTCTGACATTAAAGTTTTATATCAGCTGAGTTTTATATCAGCTGTTTCATAGGTAGATGTGAAATACGAAGTGCGAACAGGTTAAAGAGAGCCCTGTTTACAGCTCTAGGATATAGACATTTAACTGACGGGTGGCTAAAGGCCTGACCGTGAGAAGCTCTCAGATCAAAGCTGATCCTCCTGTCAATAATGACTCCAGAAACAAAAGGCCAA